AGGGTCTACAGGGGTTCAAGAAGAAGATATCTGTTGCTTGTGCCGACAGAGAAGAACAGAATCTAAGGAAAGAATCCAAGGATAAGGAGGGTCTAGAAGTGTACGGAATGTTGAAAGAAGGAATAGGGTTCAAGGATTACCTACATGGACCAATGGATGCAGGGACAAAGCTTAAGGTCAAATTCAGGACCGGGGACATAGGCCTTCGCGAACGTCGACGAAGACATAGGACGGTAGACGACGAAGACGACAAGTTCAAATGTGATTGCGGCTTCGAATGCGAAGACCGTGTTCATGTAGTCGCGGAATGTCCGTGGTACGAAAAGGAGAGGGAAGTGTACATGACTGAGCTGGGAAGAATACAAGGGACGTACAGGGAGATGTTTGAGGCATGGAATAGAGAGGAGAGGACGGTAGCGGTACTGGGGAGTAGGAAGTGGTTTGAAAAGGCGGGAAGTGACATCGGTAGGATAGACAGACTAGGGAAGACATTTTTGAGCCACCTTTGGCAAAGTAGGAAGGAACGATTGGCCATCGGTGATCGGTCCTGTGGGAACAATGCTCCGTCCTCTCGAGGACGCGTGGTCAATGGTCTAACCGCTAAGGCATGCAAAGCATAAGAGTACGCCCCCCCCCCCCCCCCCCCCCTCCTCTCGCCGACACCACCGCGTGAACCCGTAGCATGGACGCGTGGGACGAGACGTACGGTGTTTACACCCTGGATGAGGCGGAAGGAACCTTCAATGACGATTTCCACACCTTCGGCTTGTACTGGGACGAGAACGAGATGGTGAGCAGGGGACCCCAGACGATGGGGGCTTGGAAACGGGTAACCCTACCGGCCTCATCTTGTGTGTGTGTGTGTGTGTGTTTTTCGAGCCTGACTTGTAGGTTCTGTGTTGTGTGCGTCTTTGTCTTGCCTGCCTTGTGGCCTTTGGTTTGTGCGTAGCTTCTTCGTGCCTGACTTGTGGCCACACCGATTGAATACTAAATACTTACTCGGACGATAGGCGACATTAGGAACGGTCCCCCGAGTACACGGACAACGGCACACACGGCACACTTTTGGACAGAATACTTGGCTGAAGGTACCGTATGTGGGAAAAACGGTACCGTATGTGGGAACAACGAAACAATGGTGAGTATCAATCACCGCAAAGGGGTGATGGAAGTTGGGGGCTAGGAGAACGCGGAAAGGGACAGCAGGTGCCTACGAAGTACGGTAGATAATATCCAGCGCCGTTTTCGTACGCAGTGAGAAATGCAGGATCGTAACGCTAACAAAGGGCGTGATCGGAAGAGAGGGAGAGAGAGAGAGGAGGAACGAGGGAGAGAAAATAGACAACCTTTGACACCGAACGAGACAGAAAGACACAGACAGACAGCGACAGCATCGATGATCGCACTGCAGCAGTAGTTGAAGCTCGACCCAGCACACATCCGGCACCGCTGACCCTCAAGCCTGAGTCTTCTTCACAAGTCGCCGCTGTTCAGTTCACCCCTCGTCAAACGGCTTTCTCCAACAGGCAGTCTCCTCAATGACCACAAGCTATAATCCCTACCCCTCACTACCTCTCATCTCGTCTTTTCCCACCAACGTACAATTTTTTTGTACCCAGATATCCCTTCCCACAACAGCCCTCCGCAAATTCTCCCCCTGCCTCCAAAAACCAGTACACGTACATCGACGATGACTCGAACCGTGTGCTGACGGTAGACTTCGGAGAAGGGTCGGGCGAGGACGGTTTCTGGGAAAAGGGGGGCTTTGAGGAGCGGTTCCCAGGGGTCGAGAACCCGTGGAAGGGGGCGAAGCCCATCGCGCCGTACGACCAGAAGTTCTACGTCGTGATGAACGTAGCCGTGGGCGGAGTTTCGGGATTCTTCCCCGACGGAGTGGTGAGAAAAAGCGAGCGAGCAACAGGTGGTTGTCTGTTTTGGGCGCTTTTTTTCGTGTCGTTTGTTGAGTACAAACCTGTGATTCTTGTTTTTTCCGTTCTTGAGCGTTTTGTTGCCGTTCTTGCGGAAGAGACCGCGTTGCAACCCGGTCTCGGCCGAGAGAACGGCAA